TCATTTACCCAGAATGCTTTGTGTGTAAATAAAATAGCCCCGTCCATGTAATATATTTTAAAACTTTTAGTTTAAAAATTATAAAAACTAAAAATCCTCCAGCATTTTTACAGTTAAAATATATGTTTATCAAATAAAGTCTAATGTTATAACTAATCATGAAAGTGTCACTAATCTATTATTTTATAATTATTTACCGTCAACTGAAGTTCAACAGGTTGGTGCTACGGTTGCAGCTTGAAGTCGTGTTGGTATTAAAACATATTGTGACTGTATTATAATGTATTAAATTTAACTACCCTGATATAAATCATGAGAATATGATTTTCTACAAACATTTGTCCCTTTATTCTGTTATTTTATGCTCTCTTTTCATGATTGTTTATTTTCTGCATTAACCTGCTCATGTTTTTACTTTTTTTTTTTCTCTCTCTCTTCCAACTTCCAGTTTAGTTTGTGCTGTCAGTTACACCTCTCAGTTCGGGGAGAAGCTCTATTTTCGCAAGTTCTTCAAATTCCAGGTGAGATCTGATTGAGTGCTGTCATTAGAGCAGTGCAGAGAAAACTTGTGAACTCTTTGAGTTGGCGTGATAAATTCCACAGAGCAGTTAGCCGTCTTTGTGTCGGTTTGGTTTCTCAGTCGTCTGGAGTGAACTGAAGCTCCACTCTCCTCTCTTTAGTGTCATTTTCAGATTGTTTCTCTCCGTAGACGTTCTGTTTTCTTATTCAGCTGAAGAGAAATGCAGTGTGAGAAAACTCCAGCGTTCAGTATTCAATCTTTTTTTAATCAGGTTTTGAAACCCCTGGATGTGAAGACAAAGTTCTACAATGCAGAGGTAAAAAACTGTATTTGCTATTGTTACAATATAAAGTTAGTGTGAATTTAATGTGCTTCATATTATGTTTTATGTCATGTTTATAAGCATTTTCATTAGATTAGGCCTCGTTAAAAACCCTTGTTTCTCCAGTTCCAAACATGTCCCAGTTTCTGCTGTTTGAATGTTGTAAACTCAGGAGAACAAGGTTTTTTTTATTAGAGGCGATTCGCTTTTCACCTTTTTTATTTTCATAAAGTAGCTTTTTATATTTGACTGCAAACATTCATTGTCATCAACCTTTGCATGTAACTTCATTTGTTCATTGAGTCTTGTATTTTATTTTCTCCATTAGAGTGACCTGAGTTCTGTGGTAATTCCCTCTTCTGTTCTCATGGCTGCATGTTGGCTGCTGCTTCATCCTGTTCTGGTGCTGCACCTTGTTTTCTGAGCTCAAAGAAAGGCGCAGAGTTAAAGAGTGGGAGGACATGTCTGAATGTTGTTCAAACCTCTTTAAAGATGAACAAAGACAACTTCCATTATTTTGCCCTTTCTTTGCGTTCTCGTGCTTTCTTGCAAACTCAGGGCGCACAGGGTGGGGTGGTCCTAAAGTCTGTGTGGTCCAATTGTGATGGGTGGGACTGTGTTCATTATGTTGAAAATTTCAAACAGTATTGTCATAATATTTATTCTTATTTAATATTTGTTAACTCTAATATAATAATATGTTTGGCTTTGCATGGAGCAAAGATGCTAAACTTTGATTAAATAGTATTTCTAATCAGGACGTGTTTGGATTTAAACGTTTCAGGCATGAACTAATCTCTGCTTTTTCTTTTATTTTCACTGTGAGGTGAGGTTGCACTGACAGAAAAAAACTAAATCATCTGAGTTGTTCTCCCACTACATCTACTAAAAGCTTGTTCAAACAATAAAACAACAATCGTTGAGGCAAATGATGTGTTCCACAATTTATAAGACATCAGATTTTAGAATTTTTTCCTCTGCGGAGATATGTATATATAT